TCCTTTCTTTCTTTCTTTCTTTCTTTCTTTCTTTCTTTCTTTCTTTCTTTCTTTCTTTCTTTCTTTCTTTCTTTCTTTCTTTCTCTCTTTCTCTCTTTCCCCTCCCTCCCTCCCTCCCTTTCTCTCCTCTTCTCTCTCTCTTTCCCAAGCACTGGCATGACAGGTGAGCGCCACCACACTGGCTTATTTTTCTCTCTTTCTCTCCCCATCTCTGACTGGTTCTGTTTCTCTAGCTGAACCCTGCCTGATCCTGCCACTCTCACCAACCCCACTGTCACCATGTGCTCCTAGGTAAAGCACCGCTGCCACCATGAGTAGTGCACACCAGTGTGGCCACAGCTGGGGGCCTCGCCCTGTGGTGTCTACCACCCGGAGGACTGCCCGGCTTCCGTCGCCCTCCACACGGAGTGGCTTGGCCAGCAGAGCCTCTGGGGCCCGTGGGCAAGGGTGGGCCAGGGGCTGATGTACACAGCAGCCCACACCCTGCCTGGTGTCCACGTCCCATGTCCCATGTCCCAGTGGATAAGCCACGGCTACACGGGGCAGGGACTCATCCAAGGCCCCAGCAGCAAAGGACGGGAGGCTGGGAGTCCCCACACCTGTTCCATGCCAGTCCTGCCCTCCACCACTCCGCAGGTCCCACCTCACAACTGGTGGACCCCAGTCCTCAATTTGGGGAAACCGAGGCTCAGAGAGGTTTAAGTTCTTGCACAAGGTCACACAGCTGGGCTGACAAACAGCTTTTTTTTTTTTTTCCATACTGGAGATTAAACCCAGAGCCTTCACATGGAACTACATCCGTAGCCCTTTTTTATTTTTTCCTTCAAGACAGGGACTCACTAAGGTGCTAAGTTGCCCAGGCTGGGCTCAAACTTGTGATCCTCCTGCCTCAGCCTCCCAGAATCTGGGGATGACAGGATTGAGTTGCCATGCCCAGCTATGAAAACCAACCTCTGGCCCTGTCTGACTCCTTTGCAGCTGGGAACAACTGGCTTTGTCTGATGCATGTGACCCACGTGCCCCATTGCTCCTCTGGACAGAGCATGGCTCAGGGCTCATTCACCGCCGCCCTTCACCTTCCTGGTGGGCACAGAGCCTGTCCGTGGGCACAGATGGCCGCTGCAGGGCATCCTGGAGTATGCATCTCCACGCATTTGCCGCAGTCCCAGATGACCCCGGCCTAGGGCTGCCCAGGGCCATGAGGCCGAACCTTGCACAGGGCAGACTCCCGAGCCACACTCACCGGAGTCCATGAGGGAGGGAATGGCCCTGGCCCTGATGCCCTGGTCCTGAGTCGCCTCCACCATGGCTGAAGTGCCCTCCAGCTGGAAGCTGTCGAAGCTGAAGCTGGTCCCCATACTCCTGTCGGGTGTGCCTGCCACACTGGGCTCCTTGAGGCGCTGGCTCCCCACGGAGCCCATGGCTGCCTGCGTTTCAGGGAGAAGATGGGAGGGTGTGGGAATAGGACAGGGACTCCTCTGGCCCCACTGCCCAGTCACTACCCCAGGCCCCTGGGACCGGCCTTCACATTCACATCCCCTCTTTTTTTTTTTCTTCTTCAGTACTGGGGATTGAACCCAGGGCCCCAGCACTGAGCCAGACCCCTACCCTTGTTTAAAAATTTTTAAATTTTGAGTCACAGTTTCCCTAAGTTGATAAATTACCCTGGCTCTGCTTGAACTTGAATCTTTCTGCTTCAGCCTCCCACAGTGCTGGGATTAATGGCGTGCACCACTGTGCTGGGCTTCACTCCCCCTTTTGGTATTCACCATGAAGGACACAAACTCAGCAGAGGGGTGATGTCACCTCAGATGTCTAAGGAGCGTGCCCTCGTTGCTATGGAGATGGGGTGGGAACAGTGGAGACCAGAGCTCAGAGGCCGAGGCCGGAGCAACCTCAGTGGCCTGCGTGGGGGGTGGCGGCAGCGGGCATGGAGGAATATTTAGGTGGTGGAATACCAGGGCCGGGTGAGCAATCAGCACCACGGGCCACACTGTGTGAGCCAGCACAGGGCTGGGAATGCGTCTCTGTGTGCATTCGAACTCAGGGTTACGGGGTGAATGACACCTGCTCTGGTCTCACAGGTTGAAAACGGTGAGGCCTGAACCCCAAACAGGTGCCCCAGCTGTGAGCCGCTACAGCCTCCGTTCTGGGGCCCCCATTTCCAGCAGGCCGTTCCCCTTGGAGCTCCCAGTGTTTCTTGCTGCACTTGGGATTGGCCAGCCCTGACCTTGCGTCGAGGGAAGGTGCCGGGGGATCCAGGGTGCTGAGATACCCCACTGGGTGGGCAGCCTCGTGTGCACCTGCGGTGTCCAGCTTTCCCCTAAAACATCTACCAACTGATTTTTACAAGAACAGAATTCATTTCTCTACTGCAAAAAGGATGTGTGCTCACGGAGGGAAGGGACAAACAACACAGCCAGGGCCCTGAGTGTGGCCCCCAGCCCCCAAGGGAGCACTGTGGAGGAAGTTGACGGGAACCATCCCTCGGGACCCCACGTGCTGGGGGCACTCTGTCATCATTCAGGCTGACCGGCCAGCACCCCTCACACCCCTCTCCTGGACTTCATGTCCCCAGCTCTCCTGCCTCAGTTTATCCCTTCCCCAGCCTCCAGGTGCCAAGTCCTCCTCCTGGCCCTGTGTTTACCCTTGTCCAGCTCTCCACAGAGCTTTACTGGGGTCAGGACACAGGCTGGGGTCTCAGAGGCTCCAGCTTTCTCTGTTTTTGGTCTTGGGTGGCTGGGGAAGTCGCCCCACCAGCTGGGAGCTGACCCAGGCAATCTTGCCCATGGCTTGGGGAGAAGAGGTGAGGGGTTCTCCTTTTGGGGGCTGGGAAGCAAATGGTTTCCCTCTGAGCTCAAGGGGGCCTCCCCATGGCCCCCTTGCCTGCCTAGCCTCTCCAGCCACATCTGGAGCTGGAGGGACAAGGGGGCTTAGGACAGGGCTGCCCGAGCTTCCCTGATGGTGGCCCTGGACTCACCCTTGCGCTCGCCTAGCAGCCAGACATGCCTGCTTGACCTGAAGAGTGGTGGTGGGTGGAGACTGGAGCCCCTTGCTTGGGCCCAGCCCCTCCCCAGCCTCCCTCCTCAGTCATGAAAGGCCAGGAAGGGGGCAGCTGGCAGAATGACAGTCCGTAACAATTGAGTGCTCCTCCCGCTGAGCTGCTCAGGAGGACCGAAGCTCAACCTGGAGACATCTGAACCCTGAAAGGCTGGGCTCGAGCTCAGCAGGGCTCCCAAGATGCTGCCCTGGACATGCAGCATCCTGGACACGCCTGGCCGGCAAGTGAGGTTTCCGCCCGGCGGAGGCCACGCCATCTGGGAGGGCGGACGTGCTCAGCATCGCAGCAGCTCCCTCAGTGGGGCGGGCAGCTGCCACCCACACTGCACGCCCTGGCCACTGTCCCCGCAGCCTTCAATTCCCCTCCCCTGGCCCTGCACACTCCACACCAGCACCCCGAGGCCTCAGACCTTCCCTCCCTCCATGTCTCTTTTAATTCAGGCTTAAGGACGGGCAACCAGGCTCAAAGAGCCAAGTGATACAGGGTTCTCTGCTCTCCAGCCAGAGCTGCCGGGACCCCTCTGTCCATCTCTGCAGAGCAGCTGAGATGACACAGGTCCTTTCTTTGGCCTTCAGATAGCCACTTGGGACTCAGTTTCCCCACTTCACAAACCACTACGCGGGGAGCACCGTGAGGGTCAAAGAGAGCTCCTCACCCTTATCCGCCCTGGCAAGCAGTGCTCATGCCCCCATTCTCCAGAAAGAGCCACCGAGGCAGAGAGAGGTCAAGTCCAGGACTGAGCAGCTCACACTGGGGCCCAGCCCAGTTGCCCACCCTGGGCCTCTCCCACTGCAGCTGGAACTGCCGAGCTGGGGCAGCACGGAGGTGCTGGGCGTCTGGCCCCAGGCCAGGCTGGACAGGCTTCACCCTGTACCAGCAGAGCCGAGGGGCTGCGGGGAACAGACTCTGCCTGGAGCCCCAGCCTGCTTGCTCCCCTAGGACCTTGAACTTCTGGCCTCTTAGCCGGATGTCCTTGGTTGCCCCTGTCCCTTGTGCCCGGAGGCCAGGCTTAGGATGTGTCCCACAGCCCAGCTTCTAGGCAGCTCCGTGCTCCTTGCAGTGGGAAGGTTGTGGGTTTCAAGACCCTCTGGCCACCTGCTTCCTGGGGTCTCCAGGACACTGGCTGGGCAGCATTGGGATGCTGGGCAGCTTGGGCCGACGCCCTCCCCTGCTGGTTTCTTGCAGACTCAGTCCCCAGGGCCCCACCTGTCTGCAGCAGTCAGACCTCAGGCCACCACCCCGGGCACAAGGGTCATCCACGAGGTGACCCCTGGGCCCAGGCCCCGCCTCTTCCAGCAGTTTTCCCAGAAACTCGGCGGAGGTGGCGGGGAGGGGTCCGGGAGGAACTTCAGGGGAGGGAGGAACCTTGGATGCGCCCGGCGGACCAGCAGTGCCCAGACCTGGCTCGGCCAGGGCCACCGGCGCTGTCCCTTCCTGGGTCCGGGTCCCGCCCTCGCAGCTGGGGACCCGGGGACTGCAACGCAGGACGGGGAGCGAGGACCTCTCTTCCTGGGACAGTGCGCCCCGGGAGGGCGCGAGGGGGCCGCGCCGCAGACAAAGGCTCCGACAGGTCCCCACGCGGCCCGCCCTGCCCGCCGCCCGCTCCGCGCGACACTCACCTCGGCCGGCTCGGGGGGTCCACGGCGCCCCGAGCTCCCTCCCCGCGGGTCGGGCCGGTGCCCAGGTCCGTCCGGCCCGGGTTCAGAGCGCTCTAGCCGAGCGGGGTTGGGGGGGGCGAGCGGCGCCAGTGAGCGCCGCCGGAACCCGGCTCCGCCCTCCCGCCCATCTCCCCGCCCACCTCCCCGCCCATCCAACACCGATTGCTCCACCCACCGCCCGACCCTCTCCCCGCCCACACCCTGGTCCCCCGCCCACAGTCCCTCCCATCTCCCTGGCCCTGCCCCGTCCTCCCCATTCCTCTGCCTACACAGGATGGGGTGGGGGAACCCAGATTGCAATCCCAGACTCTCCTGGCCCTGGTGACCCCAAGGTGGCCTGCCACTGACCGACCGGCCATCTATGCTGCCCGCCCCTCAAACTTGGAGCCAGTCCTACTGTTCTCCCTTTCCCAACAGAGATGACCAGACAAGGTTTTGGAGGGTGAATAGGAGTTCTTGAGTGGGAGAAAACGCAGAAAAAACCAGCCAGTTCTGGGGCCTGTTTACCGTCCCCTTGCTGCCCTTGCTTTGTTCCCATCTCTACCCAGCTCCTCCTCCCAGCGATCCAACTCGGCTCCGTTGCTTCCAACCACCAAGCCTCAGGTTTTCTCCTAGGAAAATGGACTTCTAATCTGGGGGGGCGGGCTGTGTCCCAGCACGGACAGTTAGTGGAGCCCCGTGGGGTTGACTTGACTTGTCCTGAAGAAGGGCCTGGGAACGCTCCAGAGAGGATAGACAGCCTGCAGTGGGCGTGATGGACAGTCCAGCGGGAGGTGGAGCTGGGAATCGGGGAAGAGGCGGGGGCGGGCCCTCCTTGGCCCAAACAGTGGAGGAAGGGCATAGGCCTGCCGGGCGCCTGCCAGCCCCTGCACGCTGACCCACTCTGCCTGGAACGCCCTGACCTCTGCCCCTCCAGGGGACTCCAGGGCTGCACTCACTGCTGGGGTCCTGCTCCAGGCCTCGCCTGCTCGTCTCTCCTAAGAGAGAGAGGCCCCTGAGAGCAGGGGCTGCTTTAGGGTCTCCAGGTTCTGGAGCACAATGTGGGATCCCCAGCCTTCCCCCGCTGCTGTCTGGGCGATATCTGACTGGCAGCTCCACTGAATTAATCTCAAAGCAAATGAGAATCAAGCTTCCCATGAGTCTAAGCTTTGAATAGGCGCCCGTGGCCTATGTAGGGAGCCAGGCTTCCAAATAAAGTGACCGCACGCGTATGAGACTCTGCTCTAATTTCAGGGGACACATGGGGTCCCTGTCCCCATGGTGCTTCTGTCTAACAGGGGACACTGGTGATAACCAAGTGCCATTGTTGTGTGAGCATCTGGTGCCTGGAAGATGTCAGACAGGATGGTGGGGTGGGCCAGAGGGCGGGACTCTGGGGGGTGGGCAGCTGTCCAGGTAGTCAGGGAAGGGCGTGCAGAGAAGGTGACGTCCCCACTGGGAGGCTAGAGTGCTGGGCCGGAGCCGGGGTGGAGATGCGTGCTCAGTGTGTTCTGGGCAGCAGACAGCAGCACCAAGTGCAGAGGCAGGAAGGGCTCACCACAGTCAAGTTAGGGAGGCAGGTGTTGGGGCCAGGGGGAAAGGGGTGGAAGGTGGGCTTGGGGACCAAAGCAGCCAGAGGACATCTTGCTGGCTACACGGAGGAGCTGGAGCCCCTGAGAGTTTGCATCAGAATTGGGGACAAGAGCACACTCAGTTTTTAATTAAAAACTTGCTCCGCTGCTGATGCAAATTGGAACAACCCCTCTGCAAAGTAAATTGGCCCCAAAATGTGTTTACTGTTTGGTCCAGAAAACTCAGTCCAAGGAAATAGTTCTAAATACAGAAAAGGCTTTCTATCCAAAGATGTTCGTCACACTTGCTAAGTGCTGCAAAGAGCCAGGCACCCCAAAGCAGGTGCATAAGTTCTGGGGCTCACTGTGGGGAGCAGGCGACTGGGCTATTGTTTTTGAAAATCCCAGAGCCACCCGTGGAATCGCATGGAAGCCTGCAGAGAGACTCTTCACCAGGGTGTGTGCAGTTAGTGAGGCTTTATGATGTGGTGGAAATCTGTCCATGTGCGAGCGTTAGAGACAGAAATAGGAAGTGGGAAGGAATGCAAAAGATAACTTCCACTCTGCACAACAGCAAAAAAAGAATTGCAGAAGCTGGGTAGAATGATTTTCTGGGAAACTATAAATGAGCAGAAAAGCTGCCATCAGAAGAGAAACTTAAATAGAACAATCCCTGAAGAGGAAAGAGAAATCCAATGAAGAACTCTGCTTCTCTGCCCTGGAACACCAGGCTCTGCGGCTGCCGGGAAGCACAGGGACACATCGAGGCTCAAAGGTGAGAGAACCACGGTGCTACTCAAAACACTGCAGAGAGCGCCAGGGATTTAGCTCAGTGGCACAGCGCCTGCTTGGCAAGCATAAGGTCCTGAGTTTGATCCCCAATACCAGTGGTGGGGAACACTGCAGAGAAAAAAAAGAAAAACACTCCTAACCTGATAAAGACAGCTCCTATGAATATCAATATAAAATTCTAAAGGAAACATTAGCCAAAAGAATTCAGGAGGAATCACAAGCACAAGGACCCAAGTTCAATCCCTGGTACCAAAAAAAAAAAAAAAGAATTCAGGAGCACATGAGTTAGGCATAGTGGCTCACACCTGTAATCTCAGCACTCAGGAGGCCGGGGCAGGAGGATTGCCATGAGTTCCAGCCCAGCCTGGGCTACATAGTGACTTCAAGTCTAGCCTGGACTACATAGCAAGTCCATGTTTCAAAAGACAAAAACAGAGGGCTGAGGATTTAGCTCAGTGGCATCTTGCCTGGCTTGCAAGCACAAGGTAGAAAAAAAAAGAATTCAGGAGCACATTAAAATAAGAATACAATGGGCCGGGGATTTAGCTCAGTGGTTCTGCCACCTGCCTCGCAAGTGCAAGGTCCCGAGTTCAATCTCTGGTACAAAAAAAAAAGAATACAATATTCCAAATAAAAGGAATAAAAGGATGGTCTAATGTAAAGAAGGTTATTCAATAATTCATCCTATTAATAGATTAGAGGTATTTATTATTTTTTTTGGTACCAGGGATTGAACTCGGATCCTTGCACTTCTATTAATAGATTAGAAATAGATTAGAGGAAATCATGATCATCTACAAAGATATGCAAAAGCATCTGATAAAATGTAATGTGCATTTGTAATTTTGAAAAACGTCAATGAAACAGAATCAGTGGATATTTCATGTGTTCTGCAGTCAAAATGCACATCTTGTTAAACAGGAACTCAGCACGTGATGTCTACTCTCACTCCCATAATTTTACCCCCTGTCTCTTTTCTTTGCAATCCTAGCTGACATCATAAGACAAGGACAAGAACAGTACATATAAAAAGTGGACAAGAGGAGTTAAATTATTGTCATTTGTAGGTAACAGGATCACATAGCTGGAAGACCCAGGTGCCCCGCATAAAACCCCCTGAAGAGATTCTGATAGCCTTTCTCCATAGATGCAATGAGCAACTAGAAAAACTCAATGAAAGAAAAGATTCTTTCCAGTGCCAACAAGATAGAACACTCTGGAATAATCTTAATCAGAATAGTTCAGGATCATGGATGCATCTCAGTGGCAGCATGCCTGCTTGACAAGCACAAGGTCCTGAGTTCGATCCCTGGTACTGAAAAAAAAAATAGAGAATTGTTCAACAGCTGCACAGAATGTTTAGCAGGGTATTTGTAAGAAAAGCCCCTGTGCAGGGTCATTTTGAGAAAACAAACTCAAACTCAGTTTCTCCCACATCTGCTCTCAACTTGGATTGCTTCTGTGACCCTAAGAGTGTTGGGTGTCTCCCCACCAGCAAAGGGGGCCACAGGGATGCATGCACCATGGCTGATCACAGAGGATGTGGCCCAGGGTACAGAAGAAAGATGCACAGGACTAGTGGGGGGGCTTTCTGAGTGGCCCCCTCTGGAACTTTCGCACAGGTGGCTCAGAGATCTGAAAATGCTTTGCTGGCTCCTCTGCCATCACCGTAAGCATATGCCCTGGGTGGTCTCCTAGGGATGGGCAGCATAGACAGAGCTACAAGCCCCATCAAGCCAGTGGAGCCACTGGCCAGGCACCCAGGATAGGAGAGGCTCATGCACAGCTGTGCAGGCTTGGTATTTGGGATGTTTGTTACTCGGCACTGTTGGGCCAGAGATAACTGATACATAGACTGAAGGACACTACCAGAGCCCCAGGCCACATTGTCCTCAGCCCTGGTCTCCAATGCCTAGTCCTCACCTTGCTCAGTGACATGGGGACCCTCTTCTACCCTCTGAGATGTGTGACCTTAGGCTGCTCACCTTCCCTCTCTGTTTGCTAAAGGGACTATTTGAGGAATCAGAGACAGTGAACTTCTCCTGGGGTCTGGCACATGCCAAGCCCCAGTTAACATGCTCAGTGCAGTCAAGCCCTGGGCTTGATTTATACACAGCCTTCCCTGTAATTTTTCCAACCGCCCCACAATGAGGAACTATTATTTGTTATCACCTATTTTACACATGGGGAAACTGAGGCCCAGGCATGTGGTGTCTTTGGCCAGGAGGTCAAAGCTGGGCCTTGTGGCTCTGCTGGTAGGTGGAGGTGCCTCAGTGGTGGGGGTCAGGAGCAGGGCCTCTGTGGGGACCACTGCCGTCCTCACCAATGACACCCAGCTCACGGAGCTGCCTTCCTCACTGGCAACAGCCAGGCCTCTGGTCACCAGTGTCCGTCCTGCTTCTCTTGCTGGCAAGTGCCCTTGAAGAAAAGCCATCTGGAGCCAGGTGTGGGGTTCATGCCTGTGATCCCAGCACTCTGGAAAGCTGAGGCAGGAGGACTGCAAGTTCAAGCCAGCCTGGGCAATTTAGTAATTTAGTAAGCCCCTGTCTCAAAAGAAAAAAGAAAAAAGGCTTTGGTGTAGCTCAGTGTGAGGCCCTGGGTTTGATCCCTAGTACTGAAAAACAAAAACAAAAATCAGGAAACCCCTGGCTGTCTGCAGGATGAAAAATATGTCCAGTCAAGGCCCGTGGAATGAGCTGGAGACAGTGTGGTAGGAGCGGAGGGGGCAGCAGCCAGCCCTCTCCTGTCTCTGGGCTCAGGCCGGGCAGCC